TGTTCCTGTGTTCCTGTGTTCCTGTGTTCCTGTTCCTTCCTGTGTTCCTGTGTTCCTGTGTTCCTGTGTTCCTGTGTTCCTGTGTTCCTGTGCTCCTGCTTTCCTGCTTTCTTGCTTTCCTGCTTTCCTGCTTTCCTGTGTTCCTGTGTTCCTGTGTTCCTGTGTTCCTGTGTTCCTGTGTTCCTGTGTTCCTGTGTTCCTGTGTTCCTGTGTTCCTGTGTTCCTGTGTTCCTGTGTTCCTGTGTTCCTGTGTTCCTGTGTTCCTGTTCCTTCCTGTGTTCCTGTGTTCCTGTGTTCCTGTGTTCCTGTGTTCCTGTGTTCCTGTGCTCCTGCTTTCCTGCTTTCTTGCTTTCCTGCTTTCCTGCTTTCCTGTGTTCCTGTGTTCCTGTGTTCCTGTGTTCCTGTGTTCCTGTGTTCCTGTGTTCCTGTGTTCCTGTGTTCCTGTGTTCCTGTGTTCCTGTGTTCCTGTGTTCCTGTGTTCCTCTGTTCCTCTGTTCCTCTGTTCCTGTGTTCCTGTGTTCCTCTGTTCCTCTGTTCCTCTGTTCCTCTGTTCCCCTGTTCCCCTGTTCCCCTGTTCCCCTGTTCCCCTGTTCCCCTGTTCCCCTGTTCCCCTGTTCCCCTGTTCCCCTGTTCCCCTGTTCCCCTGTTCCCCTGTTCCGCTGTTCCCCTGTTCCCCTGTTCCTCTGTTCCTCTGTTCCTCTGTTCCCCTGTTCCCCTGTTCCTCTGTTCCTCTGTTCCTCGGTTCCTCTGTTCCTCTGTTCCTGTTCCTGTTCCTGTTCCTGTTCCTGTTCCTGTTCCTGTTCCTGTTCCTGTTCCTGTTCCTGTTGGTTGGTGTTGGTGTTGGTCTTGGTCTTGGTCTTGGTCTTGGTCTTGGTGTTGGTGTTGGTGTTGGTGTTGGTGTTGGTGTTGGTGTTTTGGTTTTGGTTTTGGTTTTGGTTTTGGTTTTGGTTTTGGTGTTGGTTTTGTTTTTGTTATTGTGTTTGTGTTTGTTGTTGTTTTTGTTTTTGTTTTTGTTTTTGTTTTCGTTTTTTGTTTTTGTTTTTGTGTTTGTTTTTGTTTTTTTGTTTTTGGTTTTTTTTTTGTTTTTGTTTTTGTTTTGTTTTTGCTTTTGTTTTTGTTTTTGTTTTTTGTTTTGTGTTTGTGTTTTTGTTTTGTGTTTGTGTTTGTGTTTGTGTTTGTGTTTGTGCTTGTGCTTGTGTTTGTGTTTGTGTTTGTGTTTGTGTTTGTGTTTGTGTTTGTGTTTGTGTTTGTGTTTGTGTTTGTGTTTGTGTTTGTGTTTGTGTTTGTGTTTGTGTTTGTGTGTGTTGTGTTTGTGTTTGTGTTTGTGTTTGTGTTTGTGTTTGTGTTTGTGTTTGTGTTTGTGTTTGTGTTTGTGTTTGTGTTTGTGTTTGTGTTTGTGTTTGTGCCTTGCCCTTCGTTTTGCGTGGAGAATGCAAGTTTGTTCTGCGCAGATTTGTCTGGACTGCTACCCGGTACAGGACCAGACCAAGCTGTTGTGTGTGTGTGTGTGTCTGAGAGTTGCACCTACATCAGCGCTGCCTGGCGCACTTGGCGCGCTGGTTTCGTGTTTCATGACGTTCGGCATGAACTGCATTGCATACTATTCTCAACTGTTGAACTGAACCTTCCTGTGTGCTTTTGAACATCGACTCAGGCTGAATTGTGCACAGAGTCGAGCAGTCGACCCACACAAGCGGGCGCCAATCAAAAAACAAACGCTCCAGGGCAGTAAGGATACCTATCTTCTCTGTTGTTTTTTGCCAATGCGTGCCTGTTTTGGTCATTATACTCATGATCACGTCGATGTGTCTTGCAGGTGGGTATCGTGCTCATGCGCACCTTCACCTTTCGCATGCTGTGTACTGCTCTGTGTGCGTGCTGTCAACAAAACCTTAAATGTCTTCACATTTCATTGCAAGTCGTTGCAGACAAACGAACTATTCGGGAAACACACAGCTGTTGAAGGAAGCTCGCTTTGGGCATGATCGCCTGGTCATGGCATGCGTTGATTGTCTGATTCCTTATCCTCAGAGACAAAAAAAAGTCTATTGTGAATGGGCTTGATGTGCAGGCTGTTTGGATCATGTGACCCTCGTCTTCTCCCTTTCACATCAGTCGTACGCACTCGGGATCAACAAAGCAACCCGGTCCTTGTCACGTGGCGTGCTGTCGGCCTTCTCGTCCTTTGAATCCTTCCTTGGCATTGCAGGTGGCCTTTCATCTGTCAGAATGCACATGTCTTGGGCAGCGACTCGCGTTTAGCCTTGGTCACCCAAATAGTGTCGACCTTGGGATGATACCCGCCAGACACGCCAAAAGCACTCGCATGGTTCAGCACCGTGGCAGAGAAGGAACAAACAATGCAAGCAAATGGTGAGATCATGGTGAATAAGTCAAGCCACAATTCAAGGGTGTGCTGACGGGTTGCAAAGCTGCAAGCGATTCGCTGAAAAACATCGCGACAACAACAAGAAGACTTTACTGGGTATGCAAGAGGTGGGCCAACCGCCAAGCAAGGCCCCATGGCCCAGGTATCCAAGTCCAAGGTCGCCGCCATTTCTGCCTGGCGCTGAGTCACCTTAGGCTCGCTCGAGTTGGCATGTCACACAAGATTGGATGTATGCAGCCGGTCAAGACTTCCTCCCTTCTGTTCCCTCATGCCTAAACAAGCCATTTCAGCGCAGGATCCTCTGATAGAACATTCAAATCCTAGTTGACCACCACATGGCCAACAAGGCCATGTTGCAATGAGAACAGGCAGTGCAAAAGCAGTTCGTGCGATCCCAGCACATTCTCCACCCGTTCGAACAACCCTAAGTGGACAGGAGTCGCAAATTCCAAATCCCATCTCAGAAACACTCCTTCATACATTCACCAGAAATTGATGATCGAGGGTGGCCATTCGCCAGTTTCCCTGCGAGGACTCCCCGAAACCCGTATTCACGTGGACAATGGTTCGTGCAAAAAATATGGCTGATGGAAGCTGCAAAATCAAGCACACCTGGCAAGTGTGCCATGGTTGAAACAAGCTGAGCTCCTGGGCGGTCTGGACATTAAACCAAAATGACCCTGGCAAAGGTGGCAACAGCTGGCCAATCAACGTAGGCAAACAGCGCCTTCGTGCCGAGCTACGCTCGACTCTCTCAGCTCTGCTCGCCATCCGACAAAATTTGGCCATGCACCGAAGGCTGCCGCCTCAGCCAAGGTGGTGAAGGAGGTGTAGTCGAAAGCCAATACCATGAACCCCAAGACTCGCAACTGCTGGCAACTGCACTCGGCCAAAAAGCGCTGAATGAGGAGACTGATCTTCAACAAAGGTTTGCACGCAAAGGGAAAACCAATCTGTGCAGTGTGCAAAGAACAGACAGCAAACCCGGTACATAGAACATTAATCTGCAGCCAAGCTGCGATGAGGAGAACGGACTTTTTGCCGGTCATGTTGGGAGCTCAAAATGGTGCAGAGGGGCAAGTTTTAACATCAGAGGCATACCAAAGTACACAAAAACCGAACAAGGTCCCATGCTTGTGCAGAGAGCTCAGATCGATCGATTGGAGCCTACCACAGAGTTGACGAGGTTGGAAAATTGCTGTGCATGACATGTGAGAAAGGCAGGGCAAGTGTCTGCTGCATGGGACAACTCAGCCAGTGATCCTCAAGTGATGCAACGTGGAGGTGCCTGGGTGCATCATGAACATCACAATTTGTGCGTGTAGGCTCTATAGACCCTCGCAATGGCCGTTGCAACCAGAAGTAGAGCCATTGCAATCGCCAGAGGCGGTTTCTGGGACTGCACTCACTATCTTGGCTAGGTGCGTGTCGTCTTCACGGCTGGTGGAAAAAGTAGCAAGCAGCGAGCAACTACACATGTTGGAAGACAAAAGTGCACAAGCCGGAAAACAGTTCTTCCTGGATGAGCAGTGTGACAAGCCGTTCAAGTTCCCATGCCATGTCGGAGCATTTTCCCCACTGAGCTGCATCTCGAATTGAGCAGCTGGCTGCACGTCTCCCTATCGCAGAGCCAGTGCTTCTAGTGATGTCCAAGGTTGCTTCCGCTTGCCAGGACTTGCAATCCTTACCGGGAAGCGTTGCGGGAAAGCAACGGATTGCAACGGAACAGCTTGCAGGCCCTATCCACTAAAACTTGCGCTTCAGCTGCATGCTGTTCACACACTTGCCGCAGCAAGTGAATGCTATCTTCCAGAGCAGGGGGAAAGAGACGCCTGACAGTATCATTATATTTGGCGATCATCCACCGCAAGTGTGGTTCGGCTTCGAGCTCTTTCAGCATCGTGACGTGCTCCGAGAGGTCTTGGCAAAGCCAGTTCTTCTGGATGCACTGCAGGATGTGCAGCAAGTAGTTCTGAACAAAGCGACACTCCTGCAAGCAGCCATGCTGCCAGGCTGCCACTGTCAATAAGGGAATGTGCAAAGGGCCCCCATAAATGTACATTAAAGGGACCCTCAAAATCACACAGAATGTCAGAAAACATGTATATTTTGAGGGTCCCCATAAATGTACATTAATAGGGACCCTCAAAATCACACCAAATGTCAGCAAACATGTATATTTTGAGGGTCCCCATAAATGTACATTTATGGGGACCCTCAAAATCACACCAAATGTGAGAAAACATGTATATTTTGAGGGTCCCCAATACATGTACATTAATAGGGACCCTCAAAATCAATCAGAATGTCAGAAAACATATATATATATATATATATTTTTTTTTGATTTTGAGGGTCCCCATATATGTACATTAACAGGGACCCTCAAAATCACACAGAATGTCAGCAAACATGTATATTTTGAGGGTCCCCATAAATGTACATTCATAGGGACCCTCAAAATCACACCAAATGTGAGAAAACATGTATATTTTGAGGGTCCCCATAAATGTACACTAATAGGGACCCTCAAAATCTTGGAATATGTGACCAAATCTATGTATTTTCAGGGTGTCTGTATTTTTACAAATATGGTGACCTTCGAAATCACAGGAAACATAAGAAGACTTCATACCTTCTTACGGGCCTGAGCAGAAAGAGTCGCTTCGGACGGTTCAAATTTCAGGGCCCTCCAAAATTATATATTATTGGGCGTACGAGGAGTGATGCAGTGCCCAGGCTTACTCTGGCTCTATATAGCCAACTGCCAGCCGTCGTCGGGATGTCATGCTCGCAGCCTGCGGGCCACGAGTTCGAAGAGTTAAGGCATGTTGCACTGCTCCTATCTTGAACCCAAACCAGACCACCCAAAAGAACAAAGCAAGTCCGACGCGGCCGCAGTTCTTTTAACCGGGATTGCTGAAAGTAGCACTGCTTCCAGGGCACGGATGCGCCTGGAGCAGGAGGTGCGTTGACCCCCCGTGAAACTTAGAGGCAAGACAATGCGTGTCCTTGCAAATGTGTGCAGTGCGTGCATGGCGTGGCAGGCGTGCCCACGCCGGTCCGGAGACCTAGTGGTCCTGAGACCGTGAGCGGTCCGGAGACCGAGAGGTCCGGAGACCATGAACGGAAGTGCAGAGCGTCTGCAGCTTCCCATTGCAGAGCCTTGCACAAGGCAGTGCAGGGTGGGTGGGTGGGTTTCAAATGAAACAGCAAGTTTGGATCAAGGCTAGGAGCAAAACGGCCACCGCGTAAGTAGATTCACAACATGCCCTAAACACAAGGGAAAAGAAAACCCTAAGCGTGAAGGCATGTTGCACTGCTCCTATCTTGAACCCAAACCAGACCACCCAAAAGAACAAAGCAAGTCCGACGCGGCCGCAGTTCTTTTAACCGGGATTGCTGAAAGTAGCACTGCTTCCAGGGCACGAATGCGCCTGGAGCAGGAGGAACGTTGACCCCCCCTTCAGTGTTTCAGGCAACCCTGGAAGAAGCGAGCCAGCTGGGCCGCCGGCCTCATCACCCCCCCTTCAGAGTGGGGTTGTACCTGGCAGGGCAAGCGTCGCATGACATTGCACTCGCTTGGTTGTGAGCATCCTGTTGCTCAGGGACCGCTCTTTTTTGGTCAAAGCGGCTTGATGGCAAGCTGCTGGCCGACGCAGCCAGGTATTCTGGTTGCCAGGGCAATGTTGGCAATGGCGTCGCAATGCATGTTGGGATGCAGTAAGGAGTGGCTACGCGCTGCTGGAGGCAGCTGCCACATGTTCCGGGCGCCAGGGCGCATCAATCGGACACAGCTGAATGCCTCTGCCTGACAGTGCAAGGCCCGCAGGGCTGAAGCGTACGCGACTCTCAGGTCGTCTGCCCAATCATTGTTCCTTCCCGGAACGTGTGTTGGCTGCAGCAGCACGTTGCGCGCGTGAGCCCAGAAGGCTGTTAATTGCACGAAGAATTGCAACGGCTAGGAGGTCGTGAACAATTTGTTAAGGCTTGCCTCCGTGGCCGAATTATCAGTGCCTGAAGGCATGCTGAATGAGTAGTGCCCACCACCAATATGGCTATGGGTAGCTTGCAGCACAACTGCGCCAGCGTTTCGAAGCATGCGATGTACCGCTGTCCAGGCTTGACAAGGCAAGGCCATACTGCCTGCCCGTATGTCCTGCATGTTCCAGGTTTCGGCAAACCAAACCACTTGGGATGAAGTGATTGCCCAGCCCCCTTTTCCTACCAAGTCGTCTTCGGCACACGCATCGGCGGCTGCCAGTGCTTGCAGCTGGCGTGGCCGTGCCAAGGGCTGAACTGGCGAACGCTGGAAGCACGAGGCTAGCCACGTAAGGCATTGCTGGCTCGACTTGGAAAGGCTAGTATAGGGGTTATTCGGCTCTGCGATACGTACCCACGTGGGTTTGGCACACGCGGGATGTCTTGAGGGCAGTGTGCGGGGGCCTGAAATTTCCAAAATTTCACAGGCTGGGAAGGCTATGGCTGGTTTTGAGATCCTTGCTCAAGGATGCTCTGAAGGCTGACCACATTTGAGGCGGCACTGAGTGCATCGAGCCTGGTGGGCTGTTGAGGTCAGAGTACAGCGGCGTTAGCCAAGATCTTAAATACAATGCAATGCTGGTGGCCCAAATGAGCAGGCCTATGCACTGCTCGAGTGTTTTACGGAGTACCCGTTTGCCTCCCAGCACCAGCAGTGCTTTGATCAAGGCGTCCAGCTTCATCAGTTTAGCGGACACGAGCTGAATAGCGTCGTGGGAGAAGTTGATCTCCCAGCCACACCAAATGAGGCTGTCCTGGAACTGCGCCTTTTTCCACGAAATTGGCGCAGCAATTGCGCAGAAGAACAGCACCACTAAAGCGAACATCTCTGAAGCGCTATCTCGGACGAGTGCGCACAGAAGGTCGTCTACGAAAAGGAAGGCTTTGTGGGGCTTCCAAGCCAACAGCCCGTGCACTTGGCGGAGTAGAAATGCGCCAGTGCGCTGCCACCAGAAAGCCGAGAAACGGCCTCCAAAGTGGCATACTCTACAATGGTAGAGTTTCCCCTGAAAGGCGAACAGTAGGAGGCCATGCTCTTCAGGGCGAACCTGCACCTGTTTGTGAGCGGATTTGAAATCAATGCTTGCACCCACGAAGGCTCCTGGAGTGTCGTCCGGTTGTGTGGACAGCGCCAGGTCTGATGCCATTGGCAGGCTGAGGCGCTCTGGTAAATGGCATCTCGTGTTCACGTGGCACACAGTGCTGTCCAGGACAAGGCGGGGCTCTTTCCCTTCTGCAAAAACTACACTTAATTTGCCTACGGCGATACCTAAAGGCCATTTTTCACGAGCCTCGGCAATGCTAAGGCCGGTTTCTACAATCCAGTTGTTGGCAATTTCATTGCGTAACAGGCTTTGCACTGCGCCTCGGCCATGCAGTTGCCTTCACAGATCTCCAGATCTGGCGGCACGGCGGTGTCAGGCTTTGCAGGCTGGTGGCAGGGCTGAGACAGCTCCTGTCATTACCCCGTGTTGCAAAAATGGCAGCAGGGCCATGTCTGGTCCCGAAGAGTTGGCCAAGGCCTGCAGCAGATGGATCTGGAGGGCAGGGCAATTGCAGAGCCGTGTAAGCCACACTTGCCACTTCCAGGCTTTCGGACGGCGAGAGAGGGCAGTGTAGAGAGCCATTCTTGACGCGCGCCACGATTCGCGGCACCAATTTGCGCTCATGCATCCAATGCAGCCAGGGCCTGGCCACTGCCTGCAGTGGATGTTCTGGCTTTGGGTGGCACCAGTCTGCGGACAAGTGCATTCCTGCTCCGTCGCAGGTCGGGAGCCTGCAAGGCGCTAATGCGATGGTCCTGGGCATTTCGGAGTGCAGCGGCAGCGCTTGTCGGAAAGGGCCTGTTTTGCTAACCCTTCCTATGCCCAACTGGGCAAGTTGCAAGGCCAGAGAAGATGGGTATTTTGCGGTCAGAGTGTTGGGGTATACCCCTTGCTCTTTCACGCCTGCAATGCTTTGATGCTTGTGTGAGTGATTGCAACGAGCTTCCAGGGCCTGGATTTTCGAGCTGTTGCAGCCGAAGGCCCATGATTTGGCGATTTGGGCCCGCCTGGGCGTAGTTTGTGTCAAGAGACGGCAAGGTGACGTCCCGTGGGACGCTGTGCACCGAACCCTCAAGCTTTAATACCAACCACGTAGAAAGGTGTATACGGACGATGCCGTTATAGCCGAACCCGTGTAAACGTTGTAAGGGAGAAGGAATGATAGTTACAACAGTGGTCCTGACAAATGCAGCGCAAGCGAAGGTGTTTTCGCTCTCAATGCCGATCACGTATGTATGCAGTCACACATCAGATCTTGAACCTCAATTGTGTCTTGAGCCAAATGGCGATCAATGGAACTTGGGAAGCAACACCAACAAGGACCTCAGAACAGCTACCCAATTTCGGCACGGGGCCTAGAGGGTTTTAACATCCCCCATTTGGGTCGCATTGTTCATCATGCGGTCCAAACACCACAAAACGTTCCACTGGCCACGGCTTCAACTACGAAATCGTGTCGTGCATTCTTTTACTTGCTATCACTACACCGTTCATTCGCTGTGAAACATGCCGGGTTCGATTGTACGAAAAGTGAAACATTCATCCTCCAATCGAAGCACACATCCATATGCAGGTGTATATAATACACAATCGTCGCGTCATTTGACCACCAATGAACAATCCAGCTGCCGCATTTGCGCATCGCGCAGCTGTCATCCATAAATGGGTTGGCCGAAAAAAGTCCACCAGAGGCGCCTGCTCGCAATCGGTCTGCATAATTCCGGCAAAGAAACATCGGTGAGTAATCAATGCAAATCATAGCCATTCCAGATACCATGGACAATGCATAAATAATGAAAAGATATCATCTATAAGGTAATAGTTCCATCCATGAATATCCAGAGCGTCATAGTCATCGGAATATGTAACCATGTACACACCCAATCATCTTGGACACATGAAT